AGCAATCCACTACATTCCACGCATCCCAGTGGTATTTGTCCGAATACCACGAAGGCTCCTTCGTCCATGACCAGCTCGTGGGGCGCACTGCCAGCTCTGGCAGAAGGAAGGCGTGATCCTCCAGGGCCTGTTCGAACACTGCCGCTGAAGGAATCTTACCTGCTGAAGCGTTCAGGGCGATCCATTCACCCGCAATCATTTCCTCTCTCCCCGAAGCCGGAACTTTGCCGTCGCCGTCGACATAAAGGCAGTCCATGGTGTGGAGTGGTTTGGTGACTGAAAAGAGGAGAAAGTAGCTATAGAAAGGAAAAAGGGCAAAAGGGAAAGAAAAAAAAGGAAAGAAGGAGAAACAAAGAAACATGTGATGACGTTCATCAATCGGACCTTATTCCGATTGATGAGATAAGTTAACTCCGGCTACTATTACAACTCCTGCCGCTCCCCGTCGCCCAGTCTCTTCCATTTCGAGACTACTTCTGGCGCGTTCGTCAATGCTCGCTTTGGCTCCCAGGTGTCGTAGAGTGGGCTGTATCCTACCCAGTGAACTAAATATTCAATTCCTTTCCTGGTGCATCGTTCGGCGATGATTTTTTCAACTTCGTATTCCTCCTGTGCCGGTGCATTTGTCCTCATCTCAGGTAGGGTGTGGCGAGCTCCAAACTCTTCAGGTGAGTCCTCATATTTCTTCAAGTGTTGATAGTTGAACACTGGGACTCCTGGGTATAGGTTGCTCATTCGCAATCGATAAACGTTAGGGTTGACGCGTTGCAATATCTCAAATGGGCCAATCCATCTCTGTGTGAGCTTTTTCCCCTCGCCCTTGGACTCGATCCATTCCAAGGCATGGGGATTGACGAGTACACGATCTCCTTTCTTGAGGTCAGGTATCGGTCTCCAACCCTTGTTGAAAGACTTCGCTTGCTGATTTTGAGCTTTAGCAATGGCCACCCTGGCGCTATCCCTGTGCATTGCCAGGCTTTCTAAAAACGATACCGCTTCAGGATTCAATGAGTGAGAAGTGAGTTCGTCCGATCGTTTAGTTCCTACGAAATCCAAAGGGGTCCTAGGATGAAAACCCAGCAGAAGGTGAAATGGAGTAGTTCCCGTCGACAAGTGGATGGAGCTATTGTATGCGAACTCCAGTATGTGCAACCAAACTGCCCATTGGTCTCTTTTTCCCTCGATGAACGCGCGTAGCATAATCGTGAGCAACTTATTAACCACTTCCGTCTGACCGTCGTGTTGAGGATGGTGTGAAGATGATAAACTCATCTTCGTTTGCAGAGCTTTAGCCGCGCTCATCCAGAAGTTGCTAGACCATCGGGGATCTCTGTCCGTTATAATGCTTTCTGGTAGGCTGAAACGACACGCTATCGTTTTCACGAAGAGCAAAGCGAATCCTTTGGCGTTCAAGCCTGTCGTTGTAGGTATGAATGAAGTGTGTTTCGTCAAACGGTCAACTACGACGTAAATTGCATTATAGCCTTCCGCAATACTTTCCATTCCTCCACTGATTCCTACTGGAATCCGCGGAATCCCTAGATTCCGGCCAGAATCCTGGAATTCCGGCCGGAATTGACAGGAATCCAACTGGAATCAACAGAAATTGAACACTAGGACTTCTGGTTAATTAATTTTGGACCCTGAATCTCCTTCTTTAGGTCAGACAAATAGAATTGTAGCACTAAATCTTTTACTAAACAAGGGCATAAGGCATCCGACTAGTTACTTACTACTACATGGATTTATTTATTTCAATCAGATTCAGAGACATTAGATTCTGCATGTTGTTCATCCAAACCCAAGTCTATGCGACTTCATGCCTATCATATTTATTGTAAGTCTAATGTAGTCAGCCAATTTATTATTATATCTTGTCCTATAATAACCTCACAAGTTTCTTCTTAGAACAGTTATATAGATTCAAATTCTAATATATTGAAGTGGTACACAAAGATTATTTTACTGTATTCTAAGTTAAAGGAAGGGGGGGAGGAGGGGGGCAGAAATAAATGGGGGTGGAGGAAGGAAGGGATGGGCAGGGAAGGAGGAGGGAAAAGGTAGGGGGAAGGGTGTAGGGACAGGGAAAAGGAAGGGGGAAGGGTGTAGGGACAGGGAAGGGAAGGGGGAAGGGTGATAGGGAAAAGGAAGGGAGTAGGGACAGGGAAATGAGGAGGGACAGACAGAGAAAGAGGGAGGAGAAAGGAAAGGGGTACATGGAAATGGGGAGGGACAGGGGAAGGGAAAAGGAAAGGAGGAAGGGGGCAGGGAAAGAAAAGGGGGAGGGACAACACTCATCGCCGTGTGTACGTGGTGGAGCGGGACACGCTCGTCGTCATTGACGTGGCCGTCCATTGGCATCGTCGACGTCGTCCGTTGGCGTTGTCGTCTGTTGGCGGCGTTGTCGTCGTCGGCTGTTGGTGTCGTCGTCGTCCGTTGGCTTTGTCGTCGTCGTCTGTTGACGTGGCGGTGGTCCATTGACGTGGCGGTGGTCGCTCGTCGTCCACTAACGTGCTCGTTGTCTGTTGACGTCATCGTTGTCTGTTGACGTGGGCGTCCATTGACGTGGTCGTCGCCCGTTGACGTGGTGGTGGTGTCGTCGTGGGCGTGTCGTTTGTTGGCGTGGCCCTCCGTTGATGTGGTGAGGTGTGTCGTTGTCTGTGGGTGTGGTGGTCGTGGTCGTGCGTTGATGTGGTTGTCCCTCGTCGTGTGCCTGGTGTTAGCAGGCTGGGTGGGACGAGCTTGGGATGGGGGGTGCTCACCTATGACGACGAATGACGACTTGCATCGTTCGTCGTCTGGTTACCACGTCGCTGATAGCGACGTGGCAACGTGTTGGCACGCTTGTTTACTGAGGCTGGTGACGTGGCGTTGGGGCGTCGTTTCCGTGTTGTGGCCGTGGTGTTGTGTTGGGGTCGTGGTGAAACGACAACGGACGTCGTTGTGTGCATTGTGGTGGCTGTTGGTGACGTGGCGGTGTCGCGAGGTGGGTTGGCGTCGTGGATGATGGTGGTGGTTGAGACCCAGTGAAAATTGACCCTGTGCAGATCGGGTTTCTCCGGATCAAATCGATATATTTGCCAATTTCCGGCCATCTCCCCTGTTCAGATCGGGCTCCACCGATCCATTTGGCCATTTTTTAGGGTCGATTTTCACTGGGGTTGAGAGAGTGGGAGTTGTTTGTTGATGACGCCCAAATCAAGCATCGGCAAACGCCGACACTCAATTTGGGCATCAGGAATTCTGTTCCGTCTCATTCTGGGATCATTCCTTCTGGGTGATTCCTGGAACCATTCTGGCGGAATTTGAATTCCATCAAAATTCCGCCGGAATGGTTTGATCAATTTGGCAGGGCCCTCTGCCAAATTTGATTCCTCCGGAATTCCAGGAATTGCCCGGATTCCGCTGGATTCCGGCAGGAATCAGTGGAGGACAATAAAGACCTCGTTTAACTGACGAATGAAACTTTCTTGGACCGGGTGGAATGAACACTTTCTTCAGCAATCTTTTTCGACCATTCTCGGGTTACTATACCGAGTTCCCCTGTAGAAACCTTGCCTTTCATGATAGGACGAGGTTTTGGTTTTGGCTTGGTGGGCACATCAATAGATGGTTGCTGACTGGGACCGGCCTCTGACTCCTTTTGTTTTGAAGGGACTGGTCGTTTTGCGTTGACACCACTTGACTTAGTGAAATCAAAGCTATTCAAAGCTTTGGTTGTGTCCGACCTCGGATTGGTTGCTTGAGCTGGTTTGACAGTGGCTTGGATAACAGCCAAGGCAGCTCAGCATTTGACTTTGCCTGGTCAGGCACTCCTCAGGCCAAGTTTGTAACCCTTCTCTAACCGAGGAAACTTGCAGGGTGTATCCTCCTCATCAGTGAATTTTCTCTTCTTCGCTCGATCGGCCGACTCCACCCCACAGCCCAGGTCGGCTTCCCAAAATGTATCATCAGCCAAGACCTCAGTGTCCGATGGTACTTCATGGGAGAGAGCCCGGGTGTTGTTGTACCGAGGCTGAAGCTCGGGGCTGGTATCTACAGTGATCATAGCATCGTCTGAGCCCAAATCTGATCCCGAGTCTCTATCCTCTTCCAAGGTCGGGTTGACCCTGCTAGGTTTTACTGTGGGCTCAGTCAGAGTATCCTGCTTTGGCTTCTCTTGACCATTATCGGAGTCTGAGTCACTATCATCAGAGCCATCCTCACGATGTTCGTCATGCTGTTTGGTTGG